TATAATATCAATAGATATTATATCAATATAGATATCAATAGAAATATGTAATATATATTGTATTATATCTATATATATATTACAAAAATATTATCTATAATTATTGTATTTTACATATTCTATATTAATATATAGAGTATATCATATATATCTATATAATATATATTTATATATATTATTTATATAAACAGATACATATATTATATATAGAAAATATTTTACTTGGAGAGCAAAATTCAGGTGATATTTTAGGTCCCTACATGGTTGTGCTCTAGCACAAGAATGCAATTCAAATTAGAGCAGTGCAAAAAAAAAAACCCAACAAAACAACCACCTCAATATAACACCTTTCAGAGCAATACTCTCTCCATTTTGATAATTTTCACAATTCTAGCCAAAATAGGGATATTTCACTGCTCAGAAATGGGAAAATGTATCTTGCAGACTTCCTCAGTCTTTTTAATTAATTAAGCTGATTTTTTTTTAACTTATTTTTGAATAAACTGCTCTGCAAAGTAGCAAATTGCTGCAGAAGATTAAAAGGTGCTAAAATGACTTAAAATGTAAAGAGAAAACCACCAAACCCAACAACAAAACAAAGAAACAAACAAGAATTACTGGTTTTAGCAAATTCACCTATTGGGAACCCTTCCTCTGATGGTTCCTCTGGAACTGGATGGAACAGAGATGAATTTTTTCCTTGGGAAAAACCCAAAATTCGACTGTAACAACTGAACTGTGGAGCCCTGAAGTAAAAAAGCAACCTGAATGGTTAAAACTAAGCCAAGTAACTCAAAATAAAGGCTGAAAAGTGGGAATGAGTAGGTAACAAATCTGCACAGGTAATGGGAAGAGCAGTGACCTTAAAGTTCTGCTGCATTTCAAACCTGCTGGGGTTTGTCTGATTCCAGCACCTTTCAGGAATTCATTGTTTCACTTTTCAGCCACTTGATGTTCCTACACAAATAACAAGGGGAAAACAAGAGATACAGGGGCTGCTGTTGCTTTGAAAAATGAGTTGGGTGAGAGATAACACTGCAGGATTAACTCTGCCTGTCCAGCTCCATGGAAATTCAAACCCACCAGTTAAATTTAATTAGATTTGTTTTTTTTGGTGGCTTTTCTTTTTTGTTTTTTTCTTTTGTAGTGGTTTAATAATATATATATCATTTTCAAGGGGGAAAAAAAAGCCACCTGTATTTTCTCTATGGGCCCTGTAGCTGCATTCCTCAAATCAGAAAAAGACAATAGAGTGAGGGACAGCCAGCACTAAATGGGAAAAGTTTGTGGAAATTACTAGGAAATTAAATTCAGGGGTATCTCTAAGGCTTCTTTGCAATTGCAGCACAGACATCTGTGCAAGTCTCTGTTTTACAAACACACCTGAGGCCTTTCACCCTGACTTTAACAAATTAATTGCAATGTAGAGACCTCCAGCTTATTTAATTTCTTTAAGGAAGCATTTTCCTCCCTCGTCTGGCACCTCACTTTCTGTTCAGAATAATGGAACACTGCTTATTTCAGCTCAAGTCAACTTCCAGACTTGTAGTCCACTGGCCAGGTGAACAAAAAAAGCTTCTTATTCCTGGTTGATAGTAAAAAAGATAAAAAAATTGGATTTTTTCAACGTAAAGTGTCCAAATCTCAGTCTTTTTATAGCAAGGAAATGTAAGTAAAATATGTGACTATTGTGCCTTTGGTTGTTCTTTTATTCCCTTCATTCCACACATTTGAATCTAACGTGGTCTTTTATGTTGGTAGAATGTGAAAGAAGATATGAAATGCAATTACCATTCTGTGATTATGCAATTAAGTGAAATAGTTATTATAAAATCAAAAGCCCAGAATTCAAATACTCCTTTAATTACTAATAATAATATAAATAATTTGCAATAGATCTAAAGCTTAGTTCTGCCAGCCAGAGTGGTTCTTTCTCAGTCTCCCACAGGGCCTGGGGGAGATTTTGTTGCTGACTTTGTTATGGCAATATGCACAAATTTGTTTTTTTGCTTGTTTTGCTTTGCCTCTATCTCCATCCCTCATCCTTGTGCAATGTCAGAGCTGCTCTCTCCCTGAAAGCATTGAGGAGCCTTCCAGAGGGAAGCTGTTTGTAATTCTGGTGGTGTTGAGGTGTCCCTTTTTTACATTAATTCTGGGCAGAGCTGGTTCAGCTGTGTCCCTGGGAACACGAGGTGACTGAGGTGGTGCAGAACTCAGGACATCATGGACAGTCTCACACCAGCACCAGACCTGCTCCTGACATGTGTTTTCCTCAACCTGAAGCACTAAATTCTGGATTATATCTGAACATTTGATCCTGTCTCATCTCCAGTAATGGCAAGGAAAAGCTGACACAGGACAAAATGCCACCACATGAAGTCTCATCTTAAACATGCATTTAATGACAAGTAACAATATTCTTTCCAGTATTTGTCACAATTACCTATTGAAACTTTGGAAACTTCTGTGCCTGTCCAGTCTCCATCATTCCAGCCTGACAGGTCAAATACAAAATTTATAAAGATGCTCCTTTTTCCAATCAATTTTGTGCTCATCACCTTTTAATTCCACCTCGATGTTTTGTTGTGCAAATCTGCCCATGTATTTTAGCATTTTATATTTTCTATTTCTGGCTGCCAGAAACTCCTAAATTTTTCTGGTTCTGACTATATCTACCTTCCCAGGGGCTTCTGGGCAGGTCTGCAGTCTGTATCCCATTATCCTTCAATATAGTGAGCACAGTAGGATAGCTCCAGAATGGGAGGAACTGCTGGGTTTTGCATCCATTTCAGTTTTAATCAGGCTCTTCACTTGTGTGCTCAGACACTTCAGAAATCTGCCACATCTGACTTCTTTCATGATTTACGAAGGAGGCACATATTCTAAGTATAGATAATAATTGCACCATTTAAATGATAATACCAAGATGTTTTCTATAGGAAAGATATTCATGCAAGGCTCTTTTACCACGAGCAGCTCTTTCAGAGGGCTATCTATCCTCACACCAGATGTCAAATGCAAAAAGAAATACTTTGGCATGAGTAACAAAGTTCATTTGACTGAAGGATTTACCTCCCAGGAACAAGAGCCACATAAAACACAAATACTGGGAGCAAAGTGAGCCACGTAAGGGCTTTTGCTAAAATTAAACCCATAACTTGCCACTAGAAATGGGACGTTTCATCTGTTCAATAAGCACTAAAGTTCTCTTTGTTTTTATGGCATCGTAATCTTTGATTACTCTGATAAATATTTGGACTATACAAAACATTGCAATGGAGCTAATCACAGTTATAAAAAATCTGTGTGTGGAAATGAATTGGGAAGGGGATGATAGCAGAGCATTTCAGAGAAGTTCAAACACAGAACCACATTATTTTAACTGGCTGCCAGCCCCATTCTAAGACCTGTAGCCGAGGAGAGCAACTCAAAAAGTGCTTTCCGATACTTAAAACTGGCTTTAAAATTCAACCTAAGGAAAATGATCAGACTTCTTGGTGGGGGCTGTAAAGAACCAACATGAAAATAACAGCTTTCCAAAGCAAAAAGCTTTTCTCTACCTCATTGTATTCTGAGCAGATGCACTAATGTAAATAAAGTTCAAGTGCAAATCACGTCAGATAAGAAAGTAATTCCAGTGGTGAAAGTCACGCCTAGCGTAGCAGCAGCAACATTTATGAAGTGGCAACAAGAATATATTTGAATCAATGGGCTGCATATTTATATCACTGCTGCAATAGTGTCACACCCTGTCAAATATTTTTAACATATTACTCCTAACAGCTGAAGTTTGCATTTGGTTCCAGGAGACTAAACCCAGCCCAGCTGAACCAAAGCCAAAGCAGACACTTTAGATGTCACTGATTGAGACTAAGAACAGGAATTTGCACTTAGCATTTATATAGTCCTTTTCATCTTCAAAGAGCATCACAAACATTAGCTAGTACCAGCTCGCTCACAGCGACCTTCATGCCAACCTTTTGGGATAAAAGGAGAAGAAAACATGGACAGGATGTGTAATCAAGCACACACCAAGCCTCAGATGTGTAAAGGATCTCTGCCTTGACCTCGTGGCAGATTTTCTCTGATGGACAGTACAAGGCCTTTCAGCATGGCTCGGGATTTAAGTCACCATAAAATGTACTCTGTTAATAGAAGGTGAAGGTAACAATCCCTGAGTAACAGATTTACTATCTACAGCTACTCCTTTGAAACAGAGAAATTCAAAACTAACACTGCATCAAAAATTTTGCTGGCAGCTGTCACAGGACTAGCCAGGGACACACCCAGTTTAAGTGGTGGATTCCATGGCTTGGAATTCCTACTTTTGAATCATTCTGGGATTTTTTTTCCCCCACTTCCAGTTCAAGTTATCTTTCCAAATGAGATTTACAAAATTCCTTTCCCAGAAACAGCAGAAATTTCTTTTACCTGTCAGTTCTCTCTGCCCTCCAACCCAGACTGGGCATTTGATTATCAGCTCTGGGTGGTTCTAAGCCCAGAATCTCAAATAAGTTCCTCGTGTTCCAGTCACTTGCACATTTTATGTGGAGGAATAGATTGAAGCAGACAGTCCTCGTTTTCCTGGTGACCCAGAACAGCCATTGTTACATGAACACCTTTAATCTCCTCTTTCTGGGTTTGAACTGAATTCAAGTGGGGAGAGATGAAAGCAAGCGTTGCACAAATCTGCTACTACAGCTGGTACTTCTTAGTTCATCATATGTTAGCTCTGATTCCCTTTGATTCTTCTTAAAATTATTGCTTCTATTTTTTAATTTGACAATCAGGCATTCATTGCTATTTTATTTTTTTTACTATGAAAATCCCCCTACCCCCACCTTTCTCACAGCTATTCCCTCATGGAAAAAGAACCCAAAAATACATCATTATGATATCAATGTGTGAATTTAACTTCTCCCTTGGAGGGTTTTCTGATGTAGAGTTCAAATGAGCAGATCAACAGCACCTCATTACTTACAGCTCAGCAAAAGACTTACAAAATAAACTGAGGAGTGAAAGGAGGATTAGGGTCAGGCTGATGTGGAGAGCATCAGATGCACTGCAGTCCATTTTGGATTTCTTGCAGGTACACACTTGTAATCTCAGTTCTGTGGTGTTGGTCAGAGGAGGTTTTCCAGAATCTGTCACTGAGATGGGGATGTTGTAATTGGCCTTTTTCAGGTTCTGAAGCAGGATGACCTGGGCATGGGTATCTGCAAAGGATGAGGGGAGAATTAACCAAATGTTGGTTGCTTGAAAGAGTGAAAGAATCTACAAGCAGCATCAGACATGCCAGTTTATCATGGAAATCAGGAAGAAAATGAGAATACACTAAGAAATAGACAAATTAATTGGATTGGAGGGAAGAGACAGTACTGAAATTCTTTCATGGGCTGAAATCTAATTACAAACTTATTCCAAACCCCACCAAAAGAAAGACTTGCAAGAGCCTCTTTTGTTTAAATACATTATTTGGTCTGCAAATTATTGGTAGAAGTTTCCAGTTAAAACTAATATACTATTGACATGCTAGGGCACATCACCCCAAAAACAACAAGAAAAGACAATAAATTAACCTTCTAAAGGAAAAAATAACTCTTCTTGCCAGGAAGTACAGGCAAAGCTGCTGAAACACTTCCACAATTTCCCAGAGAAGGCAGGGAAGGGAAGTAAAGCCCCTTCCAGATCCACAGGCCTTCTCCACCTGGGAACTGAGGGCCACAGCAGCCCTTGGCACACAGGTGGGTGTGATAATTCCTTTAGGGTGGAACAGAGGGGTGGTTTCATGTTTGGGGAATAGCCCAGAAAACAGCTCCTCCCCTTTGTCCTGCAGGCAGGTACAGCCATCACATTCATCTCTAGTTTCTTCTAAAACTATGGCATGGACTAAAAGATTGGAGAGTGACAGAGAAAAAGAATACATTTCAGAACAGAAATAGGAATAATCTACATTAAGAAGAAATGTTGTACTTTGTGCCCTCAATTTGGCATACAAACCTTCTGCAACTGGGGTATTTTATTTGGGAAGAGTTTAAATATAAAATTAGGAAGTTTTTCAATTACATTGCTAAAGTCCATGCAAAACTTTCATGCTGTCCTATAGCAAGGCCTTGTGCACCTTGTACAAATAAATTGTGTGCCATGAGATACAGTAATCTTCACAAAATCCTCAGTCATTGTAGCCCCTCATTAATGCAAAAATGAAAGGAGAAAGTTCAGCCAACATAACAAGAAAAGGAGCTGCAGGTTTTGGAGCTGGAGTGTTCCACAGGCAGCTGGTCCAGCAGACACAGCACGGGGTAAAGCAGCAGCAGTGGGTCCATCCTACAAACCTTTCACACAGAACCCCTCCTAAATTCCCCCAGTCCCTCAGGGGGAGTACACTGGGATGGAGGAGTGGGGGGAATCAATGCACAATAATCAAAATTACAGCCTTACTGTTAAGCCTGTTGATTCTCCACAACTTTTCTGGGCCGGATTGCTTGCTGAGTTCAAATTTGAATGGGTCTGTGTTGGGGTGAAGATCTTTGTCTGATGCTCCTAGAACCACTACCCTGAGATCTTTTGCGTCGTCACAAACTTTTGCCAGTGTTGGATAAAGGGATGGGACGTTGTCATTGACATCCTCCAAGGTGATGTGCAAAGTTCCAGTACCCGTAGCAGGAGGGTTACCTATAGGAAAAAAAAACAAACATCTGTTTATTAAATCACATTTCCATAAACTCTTGCTCCTATTTGCACCTGCAGGCTTGCAAAGGGAAATAATTTTTATTGTTCTTACCTCTTTTATATGGAAATTATTGCTTAAAAAACCTGATGAGTCACTCTTGTAAATTCGTTGCTGATTTTCAGAATGAAGCCTGTCTGATTCTCCACAGTATGGAAAATTATTCTAATGAAAACCTCTGGGAGAGGAATATTTTGAAGTTAAAATGAGAGTAGGACATGAATAGATATCTGGAACAGAATCTGTTCATCAGCACATACTGAGAGAAACATACCAGGAACCATCCCCCAGATAGATAGTGCTGTATTAAAAGAGTCAGGAATAAGGTAAGTGAGAGGAGAAGTGTCAGCAGAGAGGAATCAGGTGGTGTGGTGGGTGCCCAGGAGCAGAACAGGAGCAGATCATTCCTAACAGCGCTGAGGGCCACGTGCAGCTCTGTCAGAGAAGTGAAAGCTGCCAGAGGCAGCTCTGGGAAATGAGATGGGTTATTTACCTGGTGCCAGCAGCGCTTTCAAACCTTTGCAATGATTTGCCAGCCAGCCTCAGCCCTGACCCCAGAGCCAGCTGCAGAGGTGAGGCTGCTGTTTATTCTGCACTCCAAGGCTCCGTGCCAGGGCTGTGAGTGACAAACCAGCACTGGGGGAGCTGGGAAGGCAGAGTTTGCCTGCTGGGACCAGCACCTCATTTCACAGGGGTCACACAGGAGCTGACAGGAGGTAATAACTCCAGTCACTGCGGTCTGTGCCATGGCTGAGCCACTGCCTCCAGCCCAAAGCACAACAGCTCCTCTCAGCTCCCTTTGGCACCCCCATAAAATCATCTCAAAGTTTTCTGAATGCTCATTTTGTCCTTTATTGTGGCCGGCACTTAACGGGGGTCTCATCTGAAATGCTGCACTTGTGGGTTGTTAATTCCTCTTTTTTCCTGGTTTAGCACAGGGAAAACTGTGATCCTGCACTTCCCTGAGCACAAACCCTTCCCAGAATGGGTATTTTAATAAACTGAGTTATTGCTGTGCTGGGAGAGAATCCCAAAGCAGAAGCAAATACCCCGTGGTCTGGATCTGATAAAGTGCTGCCTCCAGCAGAACCAATCAGTCCTTTCAATAACAAATGTTACTAATGGTGACACTTCATCTGTTTCCTGCGCACAGAAATGCATCACAAAGGCAGAATGTTCATCCTTCTCCAGCCTTGCCCTCCCTTCTCATCTCACACTTTGTCATCAGAAGGGTTAGGGTTGAGTTCTTTTTAATGAAAAAGAAACTATTTTTCACTTTTTATTGGACTAATTGAATTTACAGAAAGACTCCAATACGTTTTTTGTTCTTGATATATTATTAAGTAAAGTCATACGGCAGAATGGATGAAAAGACATTCTAGTATTTGAAATATGATCATAAAAGCCAGCCTTTCATGCACTTAATTAAACTGCTGTCTTTAATTTTGAATGCATTATTTCCACACTGGACTGATAATGTCTTATGCACTGCCCTTCTTATCTTTCTCTGAAGTCAGTGATATTAAAATCTGCCTTTTGAAATGAAGAAGCCAACAGAATTATGGATGTCCTGCTATTTTGTCACACACAGATATGGCTGCGTTCTCCCTGCCATGCAAATGTTTCACTCTTTGTATGGTTCAGGGGCTGGGCAAATATTACACACACATAAAAAAAATAGAGAGGAAGGAAATTGCTTCTGTCCATTTCAATGACTTATTCTCAGCTTGGTTTATTTATAATGATTTAAGCAAAAATCTTTCATTGATTTATGAAGACCTCCAAAAGAAAAACAAGCAAATGTCAGGGTCATAAACTGGAGCTTGTTAACACACGTCATAAAAATGTAACAAGAAATGAATCAAGCAAAAATGGTCACAACTCATCCATTGGGAATACACAACTTTCATAAATTTGATGGTATTATGCTGTTGAAATAATTCAAAATCCCAGGATCTCCAGACACTTTGATTTTGAAAGGAAAGTTACCCATAGAATGTTTTAATTCTGAAGTAAAACTTTTAATTTGTATTGTCAAACCTTGTGTCTAAAAGCAGAATTAATGAGCAAAGCAAGACCTAAAGGGTCCAACAATCCTCAGGGGCAGCTTTTCCAAAGAGCTCTGATCCCATTTGCCACTGACCAGAACTGGCCTCCTCTTTATTTAACAATTTAAATATTTGGGTGTCCTTAGAGCCACTTGGGACAGAGAGAATTCCAAACTGCCAGAAGTGGCACATCTGGGAATGTACCATGGCAATCATGGGAGAGAAACAGCATCACTGCTCTGTGTAAAAGCTGCTGAAACAAAGGCTGAAGGATGGATAATTTCACACTGAAACAAAGTGAAAACTTGGTGGTGAGCTGAGTCTCCAATACAAGGGGGCTGGTACCAGGAAAAGTGGATTTTAAATTGGATTTTAGTGCTACCAGCATAAATAGGCCACGTTGGTATCTCCAGTTGAAAAAATTAGTTTGAAAAGAAATGTTACAGAAAAAGATACTCTGTATACTTTTAATGCTTGAATCTTAATGAAGAGCTGCACAGAATAATAGCAGGATTATTAAAGTCACACCATTTACACCCTGCTCTTCAGACAAGGGCTCTGAGAACAGCGCTTCTCACGCTTTCTGATGCTGCTGCTCTGAGAATCTAAACACAAATTTCTGTCTCATCCCTCACACTGGGTTTTTTTCCCCCTCCATATGCTGTTTTTCTGCTCAGAAGATGTGTGCTGGGTGCTTTGGCAGCAGTCCCATCCCTGGAGGCAGGGATCCCAGCAGACAGCCCCGTTCTGCTGCATCCCCTGCTCAGGATGAACTCCACAACGGTTCAGCCAAAGCAAATGGGACCAGGAGAGGGGGACGACACCAAAATCTGGGTGTGCTGCTCACAGAGCTGTTCTCCTCAAAGCCATATGCTGACATTTTGTCCCTAATTCCTCATGAATTCCAATTTCCTACGCGTTTTCCATATATAATAACATATAGATGCTTTGTAAAATATATAAAATAAATAAGCTTCCAAAGTTACAACCCTTCATTCATCCCCTCAGATAATATATGCTGCTTCTGTTTTTGAGTAATTACATTTCAGAAGAGCACAGCTCTTTCAGCATATCAAATTGCTACTGACATATGCCATCCGTCTTAAATACTGTTTTCAGCATTCTAATTTCTTTTTCCAATCATGAGTCCATGATGACAAATTAAAACAATATTTTGTGTGCAATTCATACTTTACTGAAATTTAAAATGGCAAGAAAAGGATGAGTCTTCAATTTATTTTCTCTTCTCAATTAATACAGCAATTAAGATAAGGGGTATAAAACCAGCTTAATTGGGTTGCCATGGTAACTAATTGCCTGATTTCTTCAAAAATAGCATGTTTTAGGTGGAATCAATCTATGGTAATTGAATTATGTACATCATGGAGCGAGAAGACAGGTTAGATACATGTAAGGAAGAGTTCTGATTGCAAACTGCCACACATCTCTTTGTTACTCCAGCTTTTTTGAGGTGCTGTGTGTTACTGCTCATCACACTGAGTGCAGAATAATAAGTTTTCTTTCTCATGATTAGCAGTGCCAAGACTTGCACAATAAATGGGATTCAGGATTGTTTGGGCTCAGCTGCTCCTTGGAACCACAGGAAAAAGTGAAAAATAAACCTTAATTCACTATTTCTTCATTTTACTCAGGAAAACTGACACATTTGCACAGCTCACAAGTGTGACTCTGCCACCAGCAAGGTCCAAGCTGCTCTTTTTTTTAAACTGGCCAGTGCAGCTCAAGGCAAACCCTCAACTCACAACTAAAATTACTTTTAATGATGTTTATTCTCTTTGGTTAATGCAGCAGAAGTTCTTACATTCCCAATTTCTCAGCAGCTCCCTGGTGATAGGAATGGCAGGGAAGGAAGGTGGAATTCTCCTACTGGATCAGAGTCTCACACTGGGACAACATTTCTGGCTTTAGGTGGGACCCCACTGGGGTGCCATGAGAAAAGTGAAATCCAACTCCAGTTTGCATTTAACCCAAGCAGCAAGATTGTTGTGTCATTATTTTTCTCCAGGTGATAGCCTTGGGCAACACAGGTGGGTTTTCCATCAGTCCAGCAACCAAAAAAAAACCCCAAAGATTTTGTTTTTACAGAGATAGATAAAGGCTACACAATGGGATATTAATTCCACAAGAAAAGAGTGATTATTGCATAAATAAGGTAAATCTGGGGACAAATTGTTATTCATGCCTCTAAAAGGAAGTGGAGAAACGAATCTTTTAAAGATTTCACACATTTTCCAGGTTATTTTTAGCTTCACCTCCAGCCATGGCTTCCTCCTCCCTTACTTTTTCTAGACTGTGACTCAAACTCTCAGAACACAGGGCAAAAATGACCTTTCCTGGTGAGTTTCTAGCTTGGCTGAATGAGAAAAACATACAGGTGTTCTGCTTTGTGCTCCTCATCCCAGATTTCCAGTGAATAAAAGAATCCACAGGGTGACACCACAGGGTGGTCACAGAGCAGGTTTGGGAGGTCTGAGTTTCTCAAACCCAGACGATTTCTGTGTGTTTCACATGGGTGTGACTGGCAGAAAAGCTCCCAAGAATTCTGTGACACCGCATTGGCTTCAGTGATTAGAGTGCTCAACCCAGGAAATAAAATTATCACCATTGTTGGCACTTTTATTAATTGAATGAAACCTCTGATGTTTCCCAAGATTGCATAAACCTGACTTTTCCCCATTATCAGCTCATTCTCAGATTAAACACAGTTCATGACACTTTAATGTGTTAACTCTGCTGCATGGTATTTCCTACCAGTGTTTAATTTCTTCTTTAATAGGCCAGAGACTCTGTGCTCACACAGGTCTTTAATAAAAAGTTTTCAAATTCTAAGGACACTACGTTGACCTTTTACTGAAATCAAAAGTACTGAGAAAATTAGGATACTTCTTCCAAAAAGTCCTTTTTAAAGTCTAAGGTACCCCCATAAAAGGTCAAAAATTATTATCTATAAATTAACACTCCATCAAATTTGCTGTTGCACATTGTTTCAAGTGTGTTTGGGAAGATACAGGAAATATTTAGATCAGGAATAATATAATTCATACTTAACCACCTTCAGCTGCAGTTAATTTGATAATGCTGAGAAATAATTTCATAAAGGTCAAAAGGAATCTCAGAAAGAGCTAATGTATTTCCTGCAGTGGAGTGACTCCATTTTCCATGCCCCTTCCACTGCTCCTGTCCTACTGGTAAAGAACAGTTTTGTGACATCCCAAAAGAAGATAAAGATGTGATGGATTTATACAAAGAACTACCAAGCACAAAGCTCCAGGTTTTACTTATGACAGAAATATCCAGCATTTTACAGATAAAAAAAAAAAAATGCCCTGGCACTTGCTCCTTGCACTGAAGTGTAGTAACAAGGAGTCAGTGCCTGCTGGAACTGGTGACAGGTTCTCTACTGACACCAGCAAAAGGGGATGGAAAAAGGATCACTGTGGAGTTTGTTTTCAGCTGTCTCCTCTCCTCACCTGACAATGTCAGGGCATTTTATAAAGAGGTGAGCATGGAACACAATGGGACAACAGCAGCTTTTCTGTAATCCTACAAACTCTAATGCTGTGAGCATTAAATATTTGTATTTATGTGTTAGAATATGCCACATGTACTTTAGCACAAGGTACAAGGTTTTGTATGATTTTTGAATTATTGACTATAAATTCTGTTAAAGATGATCACAGATCTGGCAGTGCCTGCTCTGCTGGGAGCTGCTCTGGGTTCCAGTTCCCACTGCTGGGCTGTGCCCTGGGCATTACCTGGCCTCTCTGTATTTCCAGGAAAGGAAAGGAAAGCCTGTGGCAGCTCAGACTTCCTCAGTGCCTGTGCCAGCACATCTCAGGTTTGACTCAGAGATAAGCTGAGAGGCCAAAGGAAATAAAAACCTGCACTGAACACATTTGAGAAAAGAATTTCTGCTAAAGAATTTCTTTTTTCCTCTCTTCCCTTTATACCACAAGTCTGTTAGCCCAAGCAAATGACTTGCTTTATTGGAAAAGCCTCTAAATTTTCACTTTATTACCCTATTTCATTTGGCAATTCTTAATCCTGCCTTTGGCTGCCCTCTCACTGAGAAGTCCCAGGCATATTCACTGGAGTTAAACAGGCTCCACTTACTAACCTGAAGAGATCTTCAATCTGTGGACAATGCTGCTCTAAAGAGGTGCAGATAGTTATGCTCAATCTGATTTTTTCTCCTTTTTAAGTTAACACAACCTTCTTTTGGAGTCCTGAAATAATTCTGTATTCATTTCGTATCATTCTCCCACAGTTTGGCTTCTCATCTAATGCAATATTTCAAGTTGGACATTAGCTCTGATGGTTGGAGAGATAAAGTGGGTCTCCCAGCTGTGCCAGTTCACACTGTCAGTGGCCTGGAAACAAGTTTGGGAACTAATCCCAGGATTAGTCAGTCCCAGCTGTCCCTGCAGGGGACAAGGCTCACCCCCAACCTGTTGAGATCAGCTCTAAAACTTGCTTGCTTGCTTTAGCCACAGAGCCATTCATCCAGGCCAGCAGAAAATTTTCCCACTCCCCAGCCCATCTCTAAGTTTAACGTGCTCCCCAAGCTGCCTGGTAATTAATGCAGAGCCACAAGGTTAATATCAGCTAATTAATTCTGCTGTTTGCTCCCACTGCCACGTGTGGCAGGGCTGCATGCTGCAGGAGTGCAGCACTCTGAAATGATCATTATTAACACCTTGGCATGACAGTCCGAGTGTGCTTTGTAATCATTGCCTGCACAGGAGTCAATAACGCCGGAGGAGATGAACTCTGCTCTGACAGAGCTGCACAATCTCAAATAAACACAATTACAGGGGCTGGAACCAGGTGCTGGCTCAGAACCCCAAGTGAACAGGATTCCTCTCCTCTCTTGCCCCGATGTTCAGCACAGCTTCCCCTTCTCTCGTGTTTCCAGAATGGAAAAGAAAAATCTGAGCGTTAAAAGCAGCCAAGTTTTGGGTTTAAAATAAATGAGCAAGGCCTAAGTTGCAGCATAAAGGTGTCCCCCAAAATCCACATTACTCAGGCTGCTTCCCACAGTCAAAAACACTCATCTCCTTTCTCCACCTATTCTCTTTGACAATATCTGACTTCACCTTTAAAACACAGCTTTGTCCTTTGGGTAACCCCTCAGTAATATCCCAAATTTTGACTTTCATTGTGAGATGACATTTCCCAGTGCACCTGATTTTGAGATGCATTAAAATAAAATAAAAAAAAAAAAAACTCCACAAAACAGTAGAAAGCAAAAGATAGAAATATCTTTAGTGCTACATTTTCCCCCAGAAATTTCCTAAGGAAAATATGTATATCAATGTATAAGTAAATCATCACCTCAGCAGAATTTTTTTTCTGTTATACTTAAGGCGATATTTTCTTTCTCCTGTCAGACCCTGCAAATGTTCCCTGAGTCATGTGCTTACAAAAATGTAGAATTGCTCTCTTAAAAACAGCATTTTACAATTCATCACCAGAGCTAAACCAGCTGCAGCTGTGAAAAAGTGTTAGCATATTAGCTGTTATATTACAGGCAAATCTTTTATTTATTTTGTGCCTTTAGCTCGGGAGATTTGGAACATTCAGGATTTTCTCTCTCTTCCTCTGCTCCAAAGTCACTTGCTGAATTTTTCCTGGATAGCTTAATTTGGATTCTGTTTGACAGGAGGAATTTTAGTACACACAATATGCAAAAATTGTTGCATTTTAACAAGGAGTTTAGTTATGTTTTTATTGTCACTCTCATTTGTTGAATAGATTATAATCCAGCATATCAAGGATGAGTTGTTATTGGTGTTTTAGTGCCTCAGGCACGCTGACTGCTCAAATATTGTGAAGAAATTAACTCTGATTAAGATGATTTATTACATTTCCAAGAATGTTTCTAAACTAATTGCACCTAGCATTAAGACAACAGTGCAGGAATAAACAAGTGAGGTATAAACCTATATTAAAACTGTAATAAATTTAAAGTTGCAAATTAATTCCTCTTTCTTCTGTTTTCCAGAATGGTCTCTAACACATTTAGGTGTCCAGGCAGAGAAGTGCTGCAGCTCATGGTTATTTTTACACATGTAGCTTTCAGGACAGAGCATTTCAAGCAGGAAATCAGGATTTTATCCCTGCTGGGTACTCACCACTGTCGATGGCCAGGAACAGAGCAGTGTAGACGTTGTTCTGCACGAAGGGAGATTCCCTGTCCAGCACTGCCGTGGTGCCAACCGTGCCATTGGTGGGGTTGATTTCCAGCCACCCTGCTGGGTCCTTGTACACTGAGTACCTGAACAGAAGGGCAGAAGTTGTTATCAAATTATCGATCTGAACATGAGACAATTGCATTGCTGCAAAGGAATTTGTCTGTGCACGCAGTGGCTTTCGTGAGTGGATCTCTTAATATTTCAAAAACAACAATTTAAGCTTGTGCCTTCCCTTAGAGACAGTTCAGTGTTGTCAGGCTTAGCTGGCAGAGGCAGATATAGAGAGAGGTTTCAGTCAATTCCTCTGGATATATATATATATGTCCCAAAGTTTAGCAGAGAAATCAATATTTAGGATATTATATAGGACCTGTTTCCTACTGCTGTGTAATACAGCCAGAACGCTTCCAGCAGGCCTCTGCACCCACACTGACCTCATGAATCCTATCACAGCCCTTCTTTTTCCAGACCCAAAATTCCAGTTGGACTGGAAGTTGTATTTTTAATTTACATTGGAGTGGTTTTAATTGTCTTTTTCTTACCATTACTTATTTTGGGTGAGCTGGAAAGATACTAAGTTGGGGGGGATGGTAGCAAAAAGAGAGGCAATGAATCGCCCAGGTCTGTGGGGAGGTGGTCACGCCCAGCCCTGCTTGCCCACATTTGTTCTGCACTCTGGGGTCTGGAGCTTCCTCCCTTCTTCTGATTAAAATCAACCACATCCACGTTGTCTCAATCAGAGTTTGGAAATGCTGTCTCCAAGATTCCCCCAACATGAAATTCCCTGGTGTGATTTTTTTCCCTTTAATCAGCACAAATATTCAGCCCCCAAAACTGGAAATGTTTAGAGAGATTGTGGAGTTTACACACCAGGAACTTCCCTGCCTGACTGAAGCAATAAATGTAAGAATGTTCATGATTAGGGCCTAATTCAATACTCAGTTAAATATATTAAGTAATAGAACAACCCAGAGCTGAATTAACTGACACCAATTCCCTCTCCAATTAAATGTGTTAATATTTTAAACCAAAACTCCAATCATATAATCAATACCTGGGATAATAACATGTTTATCTTTTTTTTTGTAGTGAATTGTTATAGGTAATAAACCTCCATACAACCTTTTATAGACATCTTAAATTACCAGTAATTGACGTGGAACCTGTTATTATTTAATGAGTCTGTGCTAAGGCACTGCCTCTCAGTGGCATTCACCTGAAAGTGAATTCACCTGAAAATCCTGTGTGATAATGTTGCAAAAACAAAAAAAGTATCAGTGCAAGTATGAGGGAATAAACAAAAATAACACATTTTTTTGGGAAGTTAAAAAAAAAAAGGTAGAATGAAATAAAATTCCAGCCTCTAACAAAGGTTAGAGACAGACAGCCCTGCCCAGGCTGCTGCTTTTTACCACAACTTTGCTTCAGGCTTGAAAAATGAAACTTCCCGGGGGCTGCTGAGCCTGACTGTGGTGCACAGGAACATTCTGGTGCTCAGGCAGCCAGAGGGAGCATCCAAACTTCAGCATGTACAGCCAGGAAAAATTACACATCTTTATGAGCTCTTATGATGTCAAAATAAGTTAAAGAGCAGACTTGGAAACCAGAAGCTTTTGGAATTTATGCAGAAGAGATAAATAGGGAAAATTGTTGGCTTATTTATGCTGGCAGAAAAGTAACTCAAGAGTTTCACCACTGGCTTCCCCAGGAGCAGAAATTATCCCTTGGGGAATATGTGGAAAGGAATCAAAGGGAAATGTTAGTGTGCAGGGAGATGTTCCATCAAGCCAACACATCCCTCCTCTTAATAGCCATTTAAACATTAATCAATACCTCAGCTTTATCTCCTGCAAAAATGAGTGCCTGCAATGGCAGCAATGCAGATCATTATTTCATTTCATTTCTTTGTTTCTTCTTTTATTGTTGTTTTTATAACTTTGCAACAAAGGTATGCACAAAAATATGAAACAAGGGCAGCCTAAACAATTCCTAGTCTATTGTAAAACTGCAAATTCTCAATTAACCCCGAAACCATTTCAGAAGATTCAACACTTCTGAAGTAATGAGAATGTAAAATGGATTGTATTATCTTCCCTGATTGCTCTACAAAGCACTGTTGGCTGTGCAAATAAAAACCTGGATTGTATAACCTGTGATTTGGCACAGGATATTGTAAAAGTAGTACTTTGTCTTTCCCACCACATTTTTTACTTATTGTGAGAGCATATTGCAGTACAGTTAAGATGATTGTTCTTTGTTCCATCTTTTGAGGGTTCTGCTAGCAAAGGTTTAGAATAGAGCCATCATAAAAAACTGTGATAAAAACAGAAGTTTTGAATGCAAAGATTCACTTCCCACTTTTGACTTCGGTGGGATCTGTCGATAGCACAGCAGCTTTTAAAATCAGACCATTTTTTAGGTGGTTAAACATGAGCTTTTCTACATGTACCTCCTGTATCTTCAGTCCTGAGCACAGTGATATATCAGGTGTACACAGAGCTGTGCTCTCTGCTGTGCCAATTACTCTTTAGTTTGGTTTTATTCTGCTTTGCAGCAGTGCAATTTAGTGCTGCTCATGGAGTTTATTTCATTGTGGATTTTTTTTTTTATTTTTTACATTGTAAACTGTGTCAAGAGCTCACAGTTCCCAAGGGTCTGTGCCAAGAGGGAAGGGAAAGTGGGTGCAACATATTCTGACTGTGACCTCCATGCACTGGGTTCGTGTCCTGGTACTGTCTGAGCCAGGTATTGCAAAGAGAGCAGCAAAAACAACTCCCTTAGACTGGAAATTGTCTGGCCCTGGGAAAAGGTTCACAGGTATTTGGGAGAGACTGATGCAGCAATTACAGCACAAATATCCACACCCAGGGAAGCAGCGCCGCCTCTCAGAGAAAGATAAAAAAACCTTCCCAAAATACAAGTGCAACATTAAAAATCTGGATCAAAACTGTATTGTGCTCAATACAGGGATGACATAATGCAGAGTTTGAGAGATCAACCTGCTTCCCACGGAGCTCCCTCTTCTCCACTGTGCTCTCATTACCTTTTGCCTGCACTAATTACGGCAGCATATGGCACCAGGAAGAGCAGAAAGGGAACCTTATTGCAGCACAGCAATTCTCCAGCTGAACCACTCTCCACGCTCATTACTGAGGACACACACAAATTTTTCTGCTTTTTGGCCACGAGATAACAAAGGTATTCCTGCTCCCAGGCTGGGTTGTAAGCTTTGGGGAGGGCAAAACCCATATATATATATATATATATATATATATAAAGATATATTTATATATCTGTACATCCCCAGCCTTGCATAGCTGGGTCTCTAATTCCTATCCCATGTGAAATGAAAACAATAACAGCAATAACAATAACAATAACCCCTGGAGATCATCATTAATAGTTTTCAAAACCTTTTGTGAGTCTTAAACCTCGCTGTGTCTAAACCTGAGCCTAAACACATTCCTTGTAACCGTGCTATATTAATACAGAGTTAACCCAAAGGATGCTGTTAAAAAGTCAGAAAGGAAAATAAAAACTCTCCTCTGCCTGTGCTTTCCAGTGCCCATCTTTGATTTACACACTCCAGCTACCAAGCTAAGCCTAAGGCAGGCTTCTTAACCATTAAATCACATGAAATGAACAGATTTGAATTTGGATTTAAATGCACTAAAAGTGTGACTCTATGCTACATGAGCAGTAGGCTGTGAAAAACCTCCTGCAGTGCTCTCCTGCAGAGATTCGGACATGCTCAAATTGTTTTGGCTGGATTCTTTAAAAAAAACAAGAGATTTAAAATTTAAAAAAAGCAAATTTAACTGAAATCGATACTATTAGCAATGAGAATAAACATATCATTAACAAAATCTAAAACCTGAAATAAATCACATTTTCTGGAAACACTGTTAAGGAAGGTGTTAGGTCAGATGCAATTTTAAACTCACTGAAGATTTAAGATTTATGCAAGAGCCATTTTTCAGCTTTATGGAACAGATTTTTGGCCTTACAGTATTTCCACAGACTGGAAATGTCAACTTAGAGTACAATTAAAAAAAACCCAAACAACTAAAACCTCCCATCAGTGTTGTGCCACAAGTGGCTGTGCATTTTTGGTCACTGGAAACCCAAGTTTCACTGAAAACCCAGACACACCCCAGGCTGAATCCATCACTCTGCTCGTGGGGCACCTGCAGCAGCTTTTTCCTGGGTGATCCCAGAGTGTCCCTCAAATTCCTGGGAGTTTACACCCAGATTGAACCTTGCAGAGGATTTATGCAGTGCCAGCCTGGCCCTGATCTCAGATTTTAGCCCTGGCAGGGGTTCCTGGGCCCTGGGGTGTGACCTCAGTGCAGGCAGGGTTTGCTGCAGAGCACTCACAGAAACGTGTACCCCATCTCCCTGTGAGCAAAAAGGGTCCTCAGCTTTGTTCTGCTTGTCACATCAGGGATTTAACAGGCTGGTTCTCATCACAATCCTCCATCTCCAATGATACCATCAAAAAAGAATGAAAAATTAGATGAAATTCAGTTTTCAGTCCCCTGCCACTGAGAAATGAGAAACTGGTTGACTAATTAGTTATTTGTGTGGAGAAGTAAACCCCTTGGTAAACATGAAGAATGTAACAGGAGAGTCATTGCAACTCAAATAATATAATAAATCCAAACTCAAAACTTCCAGTTGCTGGAAGGATTGCTGGATTAATTGCTAATCCAATCAAAATAATAAAACTGTATTAATGAGGTGGTTAAAGAAAATATTCTGGAAACAAAAATGGTTTTTATTATTATTGTACAGTCTTTCAAACATTTCTCTATGCTGAAACCTAATTTTCTCTTTTTCTTTCCTTCAGGGCAAAAAAAAAAAAACCCTAAAAGCTGAGGTGTAAAAATAAAATAAAAACCCCACAAACTCATTTATGTATGTTTTAATCAGAAGTGATTAGGGCTATGGTTAAATGAAGCCAGAGGCCATAACTATCAGAATTATTCCTAAAGCTAGGGAATAATACACCATATCTGGGACTAACACACTGGTATAATCAGGTTGCTACTGTTAGAATAATTGTCAACACATGCAAATCAGT